CTCATCATCATCATAACATACATAGAACAAATGTGAGCAACACATCACAATTCCATACACTAGCCAATAGTCACATTAGGTAATACCGCCTACACATACCTTGGTGCTTTTAAGTACTAACCAAACAGCAGTGTATAGGCCCAACGTTTCAAGAATATTGCGCACCTAAACATAAGTATACAAGTCAGAATCCTATTCTAAGGGAACTTCCAAACACTTCACACATTTATGTTTCTTTTATCATTAATTTCCCACACTGTTTTACCTTATTTCTTTCCCTACCATATTCTCACTTCCTAATATATTTTTTCCAACGTAATACATCCCAAAACAGAATCAGTTTTGAACTTTTCTTAAGAGAAACGTTTTCTGCCTTCATATAAATTTGTCATTAAATTTATTCAGCACTATATTCCATAATTTTCCTAAGTTCCACATGCATACTATACGGTTTTCTCCATGCTTTAATTCCTACAACATTCTGATTTCTCCTAATACCATTCCCATTATGGTGCGCTAAAACTAAGCATGCTGTCCATAATTTTTACAGCAAAACAGTGGACAGTGGATCATCAAACAGCAGCGTCATCTCAGAAAATAAAAACAACATGCTGTCTAGTAAGTTGTTCAGCGAAACAGAGAGCATTTTTATTTATTTATCTAAATGTAACTTAGTTCATATTAGGCTTTAACAAATAATTCTAGCTAAGGCTGCATGCATTTAGTGATTAAAACCTCCATAAAACTAATAAGATGATGACTAACATTTTATTTGTCTTCCCATACGAAACTATAGAACCAAAAATAGGTAAAAACTACATCCCAAGACATTCCACATTTCGGTATAGAGCAGTGGAGATTTTTAACCTACCTCTTGACGGAAATACAAGGGAAAATCGAGTTGGACAAAGAGTAGTAATTCAGCTCCTCCAATGAAGGTTGTGCGCACCAGACTGGGAAGAGTTTCCTAGCTTTAAAAGCCTACATGCAAAGGTCAACTCCATTAACCCCTACGCCAAAAGGAAAATCAAAGAAGAAGGAAATTTATTTTACCCCCTTAAAGGATGAGCTTAGGCCGAGAGATATGCAAGAAACGGTGCTTGATGGAAGTTGCCTCCTAAGTTCACGATGGGAGTTAAGAATGATAGAGAGATGAATTTGTTTCTATAGAGTTTTTCCTCTACTAGTGTCACGGTTCAAGGAAACCATATGAGTGATAATGGCTGGGTTCTCTGGTGAGGGTCTCGGGTTCTCTTGGCGAGACAAGAGGGTGATTTGAAATCCTTTACTTGATGTTCACAAGTTCACGGTTTTAGTGTGGAAAAAGAATAGAATAGCTTGGCTTGGCTGCTAACATCATCAGCGCTTGAATGAGGAGGAAATGAAGTTGGGGATTTAAGTGTTGTTTTAAATTGGTGAAGTGTCCTCAGAAAAACTGAAGACTTCCCCCATTTGGAGCGCACAAATGGGGATGAGGTGTGACATGTTTGAGCCAATAAAATTGCATGCAAGGCTGACCACTTATCAACCATTGGATGCATGAAATAAAGTGAGGTTTATAGTTAGTCTTACAAGCAACCCTTATGCGTGAAAAATGTAAGGGAGAGGAGGGGTGTACAGCTTTGTGTCATAAGAATGACACTTTGATCAGAATTTTCTGATCAAAACGATACCCAATGCGCACAAGGTGGAAGGATATACAGTGGATAACGCTTTGTGGCCATTTTAGTGAAATAAGGCTGAAAAGTAAAGGAGATTTCAGCAAGCAACGTCAGCCCTTTATGCTTCTTCCAAGCGCATGTGAGGAGAGATGAAATGTTTGCCTTGTGACTTTTAAAAGGGAACTTGATCAGAATTTTCGGATGCATTTTGTCTATTCTAGCGCACATAGATGGGGAGTAAGGATAGTATTTTGCCAAAAATGGACAGCTACCAATCAAAGGCTGACTAGATGGATTACTAATAGAGATAGAAAGAAAAACAAAAGAAAAGAAATGGTACAGAAAAAAATAAAGCACACAAAAAAGGGGAAAAGATAGCACAAAGTGGAAAAATTTATTAATATACCCGTATTTGTGGTCCTTCCAATAAGAATGCAACACTTGTATTTATTTTTTCTTTTTATTTTTTTTTCTTTTTTTCTCTGTCCAATAGAGAGACAAAAAAAAAAAGAAATGGTACAGAAAAATAAAGCACACAAAAGGGGAAAAGATAGCACAAAGTGGAAAAACTTATTATGATCCCCGTATTTGTGGTCCTTCCAATAAGAATACAACACTTGTATTTATTTTTTCTTTTTCTTTTTTTTCTTTTTTTCTCTTTCCAATAGAGAGAGAAAGAAAAAAAAGAAATGGTACAGAAAAAATAAAGCACACAAAAAGGGGAAAAGATAGCACAAAGTGGAAAAATTTATTATGATCCCCGTAATTGTGGTCCTTCCAATAAGAATACAACACTTGTATTTATTTTTTATTTTTTCTCTCTCCAATAGAGAGAGAGAAAGAAAAAAAAAGAAAAGAAATGGTACAGAAAAAATAAAACACACAAAAAGGGGTAAAAAAATCACAAAGTGGAAAAATTTATTAAAACTTATTATGATCCTCGTATTTGTGGTCCTTCCCATAAGAATGCAACACTTGTATTTTTTATTTATTTTATTTTTATTTTTTCTCTCTCCAATAGAGAGAGAGAAAGAAAAGAAAAGAAAAGAAACGGTACAAAAAAAATAAAAACACACAAAAGGGGAAATATAGCACAAAGTGAAAAAATTTATTATGATCCCCGTATTTGTGGTCCTTCCAATAAGAATGCAACACTTGTATTTATTTTTTTTTCTTTTTTTCTCTCTCCAATAGAGAGATAGCACAAAAAAGAAATGGTACAGAAAAAATAAAGCAAACAAAAAGGGGAAAAGATAGCACAAAGTGAAAAATTTATTATGATCCCTGTATTTGTGGTCCTTCCAATAAGAATGTAACACTTGTATTTTTTTTCTTTTTCTTTTTTTCTCTCTCCAATAGATAGAGAAAGAAAAAAAAAGAAATGGTACAGAAAAAATAAAGCACACAAAAAGGGGAAAAGATAGCACAAAGTGGAAAAATTTATTATGATCCCCGTATTTGTGGTCCTTCCAATAAGAATGCAACACTTGTATTTATTTTTTTTTATTTTTTCTCTCTCCAATAGAGAGAGAGAAAGAAAAGAAAAGAAAAGAAATGGTATAGAAAAAATAAAAACACACAAAAAGGGAAAATATAGCACAAAGTGGAAAAATTTATTATGATACCCGTATTTGTGGTCCTTCCAATAAGAATGTAACACTTGTATTTATTTTATTTTTTTCTTTTTTTTCTTAGTTTTTCTGTCCAATAGAGAGAGAAAGAAAAAAAAAGAAATGGTACAGAAAAATAAAGCACACAAAAAGGGGAAAAGATAGCACAAAGTGGAAAAATTTATTATGATCCCCGTATTTGTGGTCCTTCCAATAAGAATACAACACTTGTATTTATTTTTTCTTTTTATTTTTTTTATTTTTTTCTCTCTCCAATACAGAGAGAAAGAAAAAAAAGAAAAAAAATGGTACAGAAAAAATAAAGCACACAAAAAGGGGAAAAGATACCACAAAGTGGAAAAATTTATTATGATCCCCGTATTTGTGGTCCTTCTAATAAGAATGCAACACTTGTATTTATTTATTTTTAAATCTTACCGGGGAAATTAGATAACTTTTTTAAAATCTATGTTTGGTTGTAGGTAAAATATAGATGAGAAAATTAGGTAAGTTTACAAAAATAACCCTGTTTGTACAATATTTTTACGGTGGCATGCTATCAGTGCAAGTCTAATCCCAACTTTTACGGTGGCACACTCGTCTTTGGTTCATTAAGCGGTGTGAGAAATTGTGTTGCTTTTTGGCAATACCACCTACAAAAAGGAGTTCCTTGGCCGGCTTTTTGAGCAGAAAATGCTATGCATCTACGTTTCCTATGCATCTACGGTAGGTGGCTAAATCAGGAAGGACAACGAACCAAACGCAGCGTTCTTAATTTTCCACTTGTGATATATCTATCATTATGAACATTTACCCTAAACCAAACACCCCCTTAGGCGATGTATGTAAAAGTCTTCCATTTTAGCCAGAACGCCTATATATTCTTATACTAAACTGTTATGATCTGGAGAGTCTACCTTTAGTATTTCATTTCTTTAGTACTATTTTTGCTAGTTTTGTGCGAATTTAATATAACTAGAGAATAGTTGTGACTTGGGAGATGTCAAACAACAACAAAAGGAGTAAATGCCCATGAACTGATCCCTAATGGTGGGGTTCCCCTCAATCAAACGTGGAGGTTCGGATAATCTGATCCCTCTCCCCTCCAAAGCGGAAATTGTAACATGTGAATGGATGCACTAATATATCCCAACCATTGTTTTCGGCCTAGAATATATAAATTTTAGGCCCACCAACCGAACATCAATTGTGAGATCTTTTGCTACTCTCAGCTGGCAAAGCTTACCTGCTACTTATCACACAATTAAATAACAATATTACTAAATTACAGGAATTCTCTATGAAAGACAATCTTGTTCGAGACAGGTTCAGGATTAATGATTTAAACTCCTTTCGAAAATAATATTGGAGAAGATGAAATATATGCTCTCACTCTCCTGCTCAGCTTTCATGCGCCAACTGAGTTACTATCGTTTAATAAAATATTACATTTTAGTTTGACGATCAGTATTTCAAGACACTACGCCTTTTATCGTTGAAAATTCAAACATTAACTCCTAAACAAATCACGTGGGTCCAGACCACCTTTACCTGTTTCCTTCATTGCAACTGACTAAGAAATATCCCAAGTCAACGACTCTAAAGTCTAAACACTTGAAGCCTTTATGCTTTTCCTTTATGTCTCAACAAAGCTAGAACACCAGACATCAATCATTACATTTCCTTCACTTGTTCACGTTGTTATATACATGATCACATTCACAGCATCATGGTTGTTGATATGCTAGGTTCATTCGTCTCTGCCTTCCTGCAAGTTCTGTTGGATAGGATAGCTGGTCATGAGCTTATAGACTTCTTCCGGGGCAACCATCTTGATGAGGCACTTCTTGTGAAGTTGAAGATGCTTTTGCTATCCGTCACTACAGTGATTAGTGACGCTGAGGAGAAACAGTTTATTGATCCCTTGGTGAAAGAGTGGGTTGATAGGCTTAAAAATGCTGCCTACGATGCTGATGATGTCTTGGATGAGATTGCCACTAAAGCCATGCAAGACAAGATGGATTCTGGTTTTCACACCACCTTAGATCAGGTAAGAGATTATGCTTCTTCTCTCAATCCCTTTGCTGAACGAGTTAAATCAAAAGTTGATAGGATTGTTGAGAGGTTGAAATCTATAATAGAGCATAAAGATCTTCTTGGTCTTAAGGAAAATGGTGTTGATAAATCACTCCATTTAGCTTCAGCCACAACTTCTTTGGTGGATGAACATCGAGTGTATGGCAGAAGTGGTGATAGGGAGAAGATAATTGATTTTCTGTTATCAGGCAACTCAAATGAAGAAGGGGTTCCTGTGGTTGCAATTGTTGGGATGAGAGGGGTAGGTAAGACTACTCTTGCTCAGCTTTTGTACAATGATGTGAGGGTGAGGAACCATTTTCAATCAAGATCATGGACCTCCGTTTCAGAGACATTGAACGTGTATGAAATAACCAAAAAAGTTTTTGAGTCATTTACTTTATGGTATTCTAATATCTCAGACTTGAATGTACTCCAAATCAAGCTCAAGGATAGATTTACAAGACAGAGGTTTCTACTTGTTTTGGATGGATTTCAGAATGAGAACTTTCTTGACTGGGACATCCTCCAAAGGCCCTTTCTATCAGGAACCAGCGGAAGTAGAATTGTTGTCACCACACGTAGTCAAAGTGTTGCAACGGCAATTTGTGTTGATTTAACTCATTCCCTCTCGCTTCTGTCTCATGAAGACACATGGAAGTTATTCTCAAGTCATGCATTCAAATCAGGAAACCCGGATGAACATCCTGTCTTGACACAAATTGGCAAGAAAATAGTAAAGAAGTGCAATGGTCTCCCTCTAGCTGCAAAAACACTAGGGAGTCTCCTACGTTCTAAAGAGGATGCTGAGGAATGGGAAAGTATATCTAATAGTAGGATATGGGATTTACCAAGTGATAAGAGTAGCATTCTTCCTGCTTTAAGATTGAGCTACACTCATCTACCTTCTCAATTAAAGCGATGCTTTACTTATTGTTCCATATTTCCTAAAGGCTATGGAATAAAAAAGTGGAACTTGATCCATTTATGGATGGCTGAAGGTATCTTGCCACAACCAAAGACTGGGAAGCGAATGGAAGATGTAGGAGATGAATGCTTTCAAGAGTTGCTATCTAGGTCATTCTTTCATCAGTCATCTCACCACATATCGTGTTTTATGATGCATGACCTTATCAATGATCTAGCACAGTGTGTTGCAGGTGAATTCTGTTACAAGCTAGATGATGATAATCCAAGCAAAATCACTGTGAGTGTTCGTCATTTATCATATTTACAAGGCATATATGATCATGACCCTGAAAAATTTGAGGCCCTCTCTGAGTTCCAGCAACTTAGGACCTTCCTACCATTTAGATTCTCAGACTTTGGTTACTCCTCTTCAATTACTAGTATGGTTTCAATTCTATTACCAAAACTGAAACGCCTGCGTGTGCTCTCTTTGTCTCATTATCCAATTACCAAGTTGCATGATTCTGTTGGAAACTTAATGCATCTGCGGTACTTGGATCTTTCTTACACTGCAATTGAGCATCTACCTGATTCTGTAAGCACTTTGTATAACTTGGAGACACTCTTGTTGTTAGGTTGTCGTCGACTCACCATGTTACCAGCAAACATGTCCAACCTTGTCAACTTGCGCCATCTTGATATTAGTGGAAGCAGGGTGACTGAGATGCCAGCAAAATTTGGTAGACTAAAATCTCTCCAAGTTTTGACTAGTTTTGTTGTTAGCAGTGACGGGGGATCAAAAGTTAGTGAGTTGGGGGAGCTTTCTGAACTTCATGGAACACTTTTGATTGTGAACCTGCAAAATGTAGTTGATGAAAGAGAAGCCTTGAATGCAGGGTTGAGGAGAAAGAAACATCTTCAAGAGCTAGAATTCAAGTGGACGACTACAACTCATGATGTACAGAGTGAAACTAATGTACTCGAAATGCTAGAGCCACATCAAAATGTGAAAAGGCTCAAAATTCAGAATTTTGGTGGTAATAAGTTGCCAAATTGGTTGGGGAGTTCTTCATTCTCTAGTATGGTGTTTCTATATCTTTCAGAGTGCGGAAGTTGCTTGTCATTGCCATCCCTTGGACAATTGCCCTCCCTCAGAGAACTCTATATAGCAAAGATGACAAGCCTACAGAAGGTGGGTCCTGAATTCTATGGGAATGCAGTTGAGCCATTCAGATCATTGAAGATCATGAAGTT